AAAACAGACCTTCTTAGCAGACCTAGGGCCTTCCTCTTCCAAAGGTAAACTACCGTTTTGTTCTCCCAGCTGTGATTTATCAAAGTTTTACCCAAGTGCTGTTTCAGGATTCTTCAAGTAAGTCTCTGTAGATATCTGTAGACTACTAAAAACCTTTCTCCAAGCCCTGGTGAGAATGCCGATTTTCTGAGTTAGGAAGTCTCACTAGCTTCAGAGCACTTTCACTGAAGTTGGTGTTTTTAAGCCTTCAGGAAGAACAGCTGACTCTCCTGTACAAAGCAAGGAAAAACCTCTGGCGACTTTGCAAAAGCAGTAATTTATCCCCAGTTAAAGACACATTGTCCAGTAAGAGTTTCTTGTGCCGGAGTTCTTTATTTTTTTCCTGGAGTACTGGTAGCAGTAGAAGGGCATTTATCCAGTGGAAGGAAAAATAGGGCAATTTAACCAGTAAAAAAAACATATAAAAAACACTGAGTGCAATATATGTAACTCCACACAGCTTCAGTGATGAATTTCATCGTTCCCATTATATCAGCACGAGGATGGCAGTGCGGGACGTGGTCCTGACTGGGGCTGTACCACGGTGTCACCAGCTCCTCAGCGCCCAGTCCCCGCGGTGCTCCCCGTTTGTAGTGATCTGAAGTGAGCGCAGAACAAAACAAAGTGGATCTGCCGTTTCCTAACCTTCCTCAGCTTTAGTCTTCAACTGCTTTTTTTCCCCCTGAAGAAAAAAAACCCCAGGATTATTTGTTTCCTCTGGCCGCGAGTTTCTCATTGGATCAGACCAGCTTGAGTCGAAATCGTGGCAGTGTTTTATCAGGGTTACCAGTTTTATAGACTTAAAAAAGGGAATGGGAAAGGGAACAAGAGGAAAATGCTTCTAGTTTATAAGGTAGTTGCACTTTTGCAACACTGCCTGTTTTAAATAACGAATCGAGTTTAATTATCACAACAAAACGAGAAGATGACAGCCTAAGACAGGCTGTTAAGTTCATATGGATTTCTAGCTGGTGCTGCTACTTGTCGGGCTCTTTTCAAGGAGCTGCTCATGGGTTTTGACAGCTTCATTCAAACGGAAGGGGGGAGCGTTGCCTTCCCTCCTCTACCTCCCTTGGAAAAATCCCAGTCTTGTGCTGTATAGCTTCTGGTGGTGCCGTGACTAAAATCCATCCTGGCTGGCTTTGATAAATTTCCCCTTTCTTCCTCATTCATTAGCATTCCCTAAGTACATAACGTGTGGATCTCATGCAAGAGATTCCTGCTTGTCCTTTCACATCGCCTTCAGGGTGTGCTGAGCTTGCCCTTCAGCGTGAGCTTGCAGCACGTCCTGCGAGTGCGCACTCTTGCGGGTGGCTCCAGGTGGGCTTTGCTTGCCCAGCCGTGGCCTTTCCCAGCAGGATGAAGGCAAACAGCTCGCCTTTTGCAGGAACTCTGGTACCTCTGCAGCAGCTGATCCTTCTCGGGTAGCCTTGTCGGCGCCACGCTGGCATCCTGAGCGGGGAGGCTTGGCAGAATAAGCGAGCGCAATGTGGCTACCCAACCGTGCTAGAGCTTGGCAGGGACCGGGAAGGATGCTGTTGGGTAGCTGGATACAGCCATGTTTCCGGTGGCCCGTGTAGATCACCATCTGCTTTGGGGTACATTGAGCATCTCAGTTAGTGGGATTTGGATGCCCAAGATTAGGTCTCACTGTTGCCAAACAGCTGATGGGGAGAGGCGGGTGCATGCAGAGGAAAGATTCAGCATCCAAATTGAGTACCTAAGTAGCGTGAATACCCCAATGCGTGGCATTTTTTGGGACCTAGGGCTAGCAATATAGAGGCAGTGGGGCGAGGAGAGGGAATCTCACCCATGATGAAGCTGACAGCAACTTGGGCAGAGGAAAGATGTGCAGCTCCCTTGGCAGGGAGGATGCTGGAGGTGATGCCCCGAGGCGGGCTGCTCCTCCTGTTGGGTTTGAGCCAGCCCTGGGTCTTCTCCTCCCATGCAGGTGGCTGCATCCCAACACAGACCCCTTGAGCTGAGGTGGGGGTGCTCAGAACAAATCCCCATTTTCCCAGTTCTCTGGGTGCTGCTGCAAATAGTCCCCGTGTGCTTTTTGGCACGTGAGCAACAGGGCATCTTTTTTCAGCTTAGAGAGTAGTAGAGAGCAGGATGACTGATAATACTGTTTTTACCATGTGTTTTTCTCACTTTACAAACCAGGACCCCCCTCTGCTCCCCGGAGTGCCATCTCAAATGTTAACGAGACTAGTGTCTTTCTGGAATGGATTCCCCCTGCTGATACTGGTGGAAGGAAAGATGTGTCTTATTATATTGCATGCAAGAAGTGCAACTCACACTCAGGTCTGTGTGAGGCGTGTGGCGGTCATGTCAGGTACCTTCCCCAGCAAACCGGCCTGAAAAACACCTCTGTCATGATGGTGGATCTGCTTGCTCATACAAACTATACCTTTGAAATTGAGGCAGTGAATGGAGTGTCCGACCAGAACCCCGGAGCCCGGCAGTTTGTGTCTGTAAATGTAACCACAAACCAGGCAGGTAAGTGGATCTTCAACCTGGGGAAATGTCTGGGGTGGGAGCCCAAGCCAGTCAGACCCGGTGCAGACCTCCCTTGGAAATGGGTGGAAGTCCCCAGCGTGGAGGGCTGGACTGTGGCCTCTTCAAATATTGGGAAGGGAGGGGGTGATTGTGTCTCACAGGTTATAATTACTGCAGTCTTCAACATGTTTCCTTCCAGCAGGACACACTTTTAGGATTCATGGCTTTTTCCTTTTACACTAAGCTATTCAGAGGTCCCTCCACTTCTTCGTATTTTGCTGTATCCGCCCACTCAACCAGAAAGAAAACATTTGCCTCTCCTGTTGGGAGAGGGAAATTCCTAAGAGTTGATTTCAATGCCAAATGCCAGTGGCTAAAACGTCCTAACTTTGCAAAGTTACCCAAAGAAATTTGTTTTGAGTGACTTCAGGAAATTTAATCCCTCTTCTGCACTGTGATGCTGAAGTGACTGGCTTCAGGCTGGTGAGTTACGGTACGTTGCCACTGCTTCCCCAACGAGGTAGGGCTGAGATGTAATTATGTCCCGTGGCCTTCTTGGTTCAGCACTGTACAGGTGGAGGTCATGTAGGCTGGTTTGTTCCTTTGTCCAGAGCTTGGATCTGTCTGCCCTTCCTTTGCCCAGCAGTTGAAACGAGCTGTCACCTTGGATGCAGGCAGGGAGTTGCTGTTGTCCCCTGTCATTTGGAGGTGTGATGGGAGGCAAAACCATGATTACATCTCCCGGCCGTGCACAGGAACACGCCAGGCACATCTTAGGGCTTCTGTAAGCCTTGGAGAGCTTTCTGTCCTCCTCCTCTTGTCCCTTATGCTGTGTGTTTGGGCTCTCTCCTTTTCCTACCTGGCTCTCTTCCTGCCATTTAATTCAGGGCTCCTCAGTGATGCTTGTTCACTGTGGACCCCTTCCATGAATGTGAACTGGTGGCATTTGGGACCATGAGGACTATGCTGCCAGACCACCGGAGCCACCCCATGCCTTGTCCTCACAGACAAGCCTAAGCCAGGGTGGAATGCAGCTGGAGGGAGACTGGCAGATCCTCACTGTGGAGCAGAAAAATGCTAGCTGGAACAGGGCTGCATTTGATTCCTGCTACCAGGTGCACCTGCATGGGCTTGGCAGCCAGGAGCAGGAGAGGGTGCTTGCATCCCACTCCATCAAATACCTGTCCTGGTAATTACACTGGATTGTCAAAGTGTTGGACAAATCGTTTGGAATATAGCTCAGGGAGTGGAATTGAAGGTGTGCTGGGGTTGCTGCTGATGGATATGGCAGGAGATCTTCTCGAGGAACATCACTGGATGGCACTATGGGATCTGTTGAAGGCACCTATTTAATGCAGATCAGTGGGTGTCATGGTCCTAATGCTGTTCACTGGTTTCCCATGGTGAAGGCTGCTGCCAATAACTTGCTGGAAAAAGTGTGTTTTCCTGTTAGTGGGTTTGCATTAGTATTTCATTGCTGGCATTGTTTTTTCCCTGATGCACGGAGTTAAACCTGCATAAACTTACATAAATGTAGCTGCACGGGAGGAGATGATACATTGCTGAGCAGTGCAGACTGTGAGGATGGGATCCTTGCTTGTGAGTTATGTCCCAGGCTCCCCATAGTTGCAGCAGGGTTTATCCACATAGCTGCCTTCCTGTGCATCAGGCTAAGAATAACCCCCTTGCTCAGTTATCACCTCCAGCCTCATATTGACAGGTCCCTTGTAGGACATGGTAGACCCTATATGAACGTGGCTCATCCTAAGGACAAGTGGGTGAGCAGTTTCTGGTTCAGTCTCGCTGTTGTCTCTGCTGGAGCCGCAATCAAGGGAGATTGGATCAAGCTAATGATTGTTTAATTCACTGTGTGCTGTTGAAATTGCAGCTGTATGCTCTCGTGTTTGATTTAACAGGAGATGACTCAAGCGTCTGCCCAAAGCAAGGAGCAGTAACTGTGTTTTGTTGTCTCTCTGGCTGGTCCCACAACTTGATCAGGAGGAGAACCAGGCCTGTCTGCTTGAGTTGTAGCATCAAACGTTCTTCCTTCCCAGTAACATGCTGTTTCGGCACTCCCATAGGTGAACATAGAATCATAGAATCACAGAATGGTTAGAGTTGGAAGGGACCTTAAAGCCCATCTAGTTCCAACCCCCCTGCCATGGGCAGGGACACCTTCCACTAGACCAGGTTGCTCCAAGCCTCATCCAGCCTGGCCTTGAAGACATCCAGGCATTGGTTTGTCCATGCCAGAAATAAAGCAGCTGTAGAGGGGGACTTCACAAATCCAACTAGCTGCCAAGCATGGGAAGTGGATATCTTTTTTTCTTAGGGTGCCTCTGAAAAAAAATGTCCATGGAGGTCTGCAGGTAGACTGGTCCATGCCTGGCTGTGCCCAAAGATGCTGCTCCTATCTCTGAAAAATCCTCACCTTCAGCTATCCTCTCTCGATTAAGAGCAGGCAGGACACATGGAGCTTGGGGGAATATCAGCCCACTCATCTTCCCCCTGAAATTACCACCCAGAGGTGCAGAGCTGGGGCCTGGTCCTTCCCATCGCACAGGTATTCTGGTGGTGTGGTTGTATCTTCATGGCAGACTGGCGTCGTGAAGTTGAGTCACTCAAGGCAGTGACACAAGGCCAACTGCGGCAGTACGAGAAATCCCGCTACAAGAACAGCTGGCTGCGGAAAAAGAAAAAATTGCATGCTGTGGGATAGGTCTGGCTGTTGGAGTCCTGCTGGCAGGTTTTCACTAACCCAGCACTGCAGAGAAATGCCAAGGTCTGTTTTGTTGGTTTGGCTTTTGTCCGTCCCCAAAAGACCGTGCTGATTTCAGGAGGGCAGAGAATGCAGGGGCAGTGGGGTGCTGGGCGCACCCCCTCTTCTGTGCATGGGAGCTTTTGGCAGCAGAAACCACCTCTGGTATGCGCTCTCAGAGGGATTGCTTCTGGGGGAAAAAGAAGTGTTTTTCTCCAAAATAATTTGGCCCTCTTCCCCTCTGTGCAATTTAAAATAATGAGGAAAAGAATTAGCACTGGCAATCGGTCTGGCATTTGCAGGCTGGTGTAATATTCCTCTGAACTTTTGAAATCAGATTTGGAACTACAGCAAGGAAACAGTAGTTTGTGCACAAGAGGAGGCAGATCAGCTCATCTCAGCTGGTGACTCCAGCATGCTACTGCTCCTCCGGTCCCTGGATGGGACTTGGGATGGGACCAGTCCACACGCAGTGGCCTTAGGCTCTGGATACTTGACTAGTTCTCATGTCACCCTCCTGCGGTCCCCAACCCTCTGTCGTTTCTGTGGGATCTTGCAGATGGTTTCCGCTGGAAAACACGTCTCTAGATAAGAGTGAGCAGTGCCACAAGCCAGGGGAGGTGGAAAGTGTGCTGGCCTCTATCGTGAACGGGCTTATCAATATCTAAAGGGTGGGTGTCAGGGGGATGGGGCCAGGCTCTTCTCAGTGGTGCCCAGTGACAGGGAGAGGGGAAAAAAAAAAAAAAAAAACAAAAACCAGAAGGTTCAGCCTGATCATGAGGAAACCCTTCTTCCCTGTGAGGGTGACAGAGCACAGAACAGGCTGCCCAGAGAGGTGGTGGAGTCTCCTTCCCTGGAGACTTTCCAAAGCCCCTGGACTTGTTCCTGTGTGATTACTCTAGGGCATCCTGCTCTAGCAGTGCAGTTGGACTGGATGATCCCTTCCAGCCCCTGCCACTCTGTGACTCTGTGTGAATCTGTGACCACCCTAGAGCTGCTGCAAGGCAAACAGGGGACCCTACTCCCTCCGTAGGTGTATGGGTTGGCCAAAGCATGGCTTTCCCCATGGGATTGCTGTAACATACGTGCCCAAGGGGCTTCGCAGCACAGATGGCAGAGAGCCATCTGCAGTGCACTCTCCCAGCGCATTGAAAAGCTGCACGTGGGCTGGAGCCCCATGAATAATTCGTAAGTGGCAATGATAGCATGGAGTTATCCATCCTTTTCTTGTTTGTGGTTTTGCTCAAGTTTTCCTGGATTTGAAACTGCCACCTAATGCCCTTTTTTAGACGGTTTTGAGGGAGCGGTCTGCATAATACTGGTTTGCTTTTCAGGTGACAACCGCGTGACTGTGGGGTTTTTCTTGGCAATTTCACCAAGCCGGATGATTAAGTAACGCTGTCATTCTGGACAGAGATGTGCATCTCCCTTGAGCTCCCCGGTCTTATCTGCCCTGTACACAGAAAGCACCTACCATGACGTCTTGGTCAGAGACGTGTGTCTCATAATGGGTCCCTCGGGAGCAGGCAGTTGTGATTCATGGTTGCCTGCGCGCCCGTTGTAGGAGCACGCTGGGAAGACTGGGTAGTGTTTAAAACCTTTCTAGGCTTAAAACCTGCCAAGAGTATTTGCTTTAAGCCAGCCTAAACAGCCGAGCAATTTTCTTTGCTTTTCATTTCCAGCATCTCCCATGCTGGGCACGGCTTCAGGCACGGAGATGGCCTGGAGGTGGGGGGTGTGAGAGCGGGGTGGTTCTCCTGCTGGCATCCCAAATGCCACGGACTCTTTTACACTTAAAGACCTTCTCTGTGTGTGTTTTCAGATAAGCCCCCTGCTTGTTTTCTGTTTGAAAAGTCGGAAGCCAGCATTCAATCCCCTTCTGTGACCTGTATGATATTTTTAAGCCTTTTGGGGGGAAAAGGGGAAGAAAGATCCGGATGTGCTTGCTAACAGAGGAGGAGTTAACATGTCTAATGCCTCAAGCATTCTTCATGCCTGAGGCCATACCAGAGATACACGTTGCATCCCATGGTGCAGCAATGCTATTTAAGCGAAGGGGTTGGAGGGCAGGACCTCGCAATGCGTGCTGCTGCCTGGGAGGCATGGCCAGGTTCTTGCTTGACTGAAAAAAAACCCTACTAGATGCTTGGAGTAGCCAGAAAGCTGTTGGATCAGGGAGGTGTGCTGTGATCCTTGCTCTTTGCAGACTGGGATGGTGCGGTCAGGGGGGAGCAAGGGAGAA